CCAATTTCTCAATATATTAAAAGATAAAACAAGTAAAATAAAGTACACAACATTAATTGGTTGTTACCAATTAATGTTGTACCAATTAATGTTGTGCCTCTAGCCGCTAAGGAAGAGGTCTTTAGGGATTTATACGCCCAAAGGATTAGGATCCACGCTCGAAATAAGACACTCCCGGACGTTAGGTATAAATTAATATATTTCACAGATGTTGGTACACTTTTACTTATTCGCGAGTATAATAGTCGGACGCGATGTACGGTATATCGATACTGTTGATATGAGCGAGCGAGTAGTGAGCGATGTTAATGAGCTATATTACTGAGCTAGCGTCGGTGCATCTCGCGCTCAATATATAGAGCATGTCTGCTCGTCAGCTGTCTCGTCAGCTGCTTACTCAGCTTCCAAGAACTTGATCGTGACTTCCTTCTCTTTAGTCACGTATCTTCGTATCTTTTTATTAATAATCTTTTATTACTTATTTACTCTTTCTTAATTATCTTTCCTTGATCTCTTTTCTAATATTTTAATGCTTTGCTTTACTCAGCTCTTTCTTAATCTTTTCTGTTTAACTTTATTGTTTTATCTTTTAATATATTGAGAAATTAGTCGGGTTACAACAAAACAAACAAAAAACATCAGACTAAAAAGACGAACTAAAAATACATAGTCAATATAATCGATAAAATAAAAATAAACTAAAAATACATAGTCAATATAATCGATAAAATAAAAATATGAGATGTACATATTAAATTTTAGAGAGTTGTCTAATACAGTAAAATACATGTCAGGAAGGCATTCCGTGTCTGTTTGCAAATTCAAACTATTCTTTTGTCTTTTAATATATAAGATTTCCAAAATCAATCTTTTTTGCAAATGAGGTTCATTGTCCAGTATTGAGACTTTGGGTAAAAGTGACGTTTAGGGGATGCAGCCCCGATGACCTTGATCTTGACATATGTTGTCAAAATCACCCTCCTGAGTGACCTTCAGAAGGTTTTAGCCGTCGCTCGTTGTTTATTAAAAAATTATTAACAAACAAAGATTTGTAAAAATCAAGGTTTGTACGTAGTCTGACAATAAAAAATAATCCAACTTTACTTTTAAAACTGAAAGGTTTGGGTTAAGTTATATTTTCCGGAAGTGCAGCCTTCCCGTGGGGTACTCGTCGTTTATTACAAAGTTATTAACAATTGAAGATAGTGACCGACCGATACTTGCGACATAAGACTGTATATAGTATATTTCGGCATAAATTACCAAGCTCATATTTTACAGATAGAGAGAAATTAAATTAGAAATAGGTTTGGGTTAGGTTATTTCTTCCGGAAGTGGAGCCCCTCCATAAGGGGGGTTGAACCCACTGTTTTATGAATATACTTTTTGATGCGAAGTGAGGTTCCACATGGGTTTACAACTTTCCACGCGAAGTGACTAATCAGAACAAAAGGAACTAAAATTTCTTTGTCCTGATTGGTCAAATTTCAATCTTGAATCTTGAATCTTAATCTTCAATGCATAGTCTGATACGGGCTTTATATTTGATCAAATTATATACGTTAAGGTGCCTTTACATGGCAGCATTAAGCATCGAGCGTCTGCGCAGAAAATTGCGCAGAATCTAATTTCAGCCTAGAATCTATCTCTTTTAAATTCTGCGCATTTTTCTGCGCAGACGCTCGACGCTTAATGCTGCCATGTAAAGGTACCTTAACCTATTTTGACGCTAAAAATGAGCGTCGAGCGTCAGCGTGAAAAGGCACCTTAAGGCCGATATTACATTTGTTGTACGACAAACTTTTTAAGCATATTGATTGGCTGCAAAATAGAAACTTTCTTGAGTCTCCAGAAATTAGCTAATCAATGCGCTAAAAAGTTTGTCGTACGACAAATGTAATATCGGCCTAAGTCTATGCTGCCGAACCGACATGAATGCTTGGTTTCTCTTCACCTCTATTTTCTGTTGGCCACCCTGCTAATTTTAACCGTCGGTTTATCTAACCGGACTTGGTGAAATTGGCCCTTATTCATCTATTAGGGCCAATTTCACCAAATCCGGTTAGATTAACCGACGGTTAAAATTACTGCTAATTTTAACCGTCGGTTAATCTAACCGGACTTGGTGAAATTGGCCCTTAGATGTCTACTAGTTATCCATAGTAGACATGGACATAAAATATAGGTATATAGATATTCACTAGATATTCATTAAATATCTATTCAATAATTTTTTTTATGTGGAACCGCGCCGTAGCTCTTATTATTTACCAGTTTCTCCACTTTGCAAAATTGGACAATTGGATTTCCAGTGTCCCAGTAAATATAATAGAAGATCTGTAATAAAATTTTTACTTAACCTATATAAAATGTCATAAAGTGCGAACCCATGCAACGGAATAGCATAACGCGGAACGAGAGCAGAACCAATCACGAGCGTTCCACAGTTTTGTTCCGTTTTCAATAGTTTCTAGCGGAATAGGTTTCGCAAATTGCGTAATGTACATACACATCTATACATATACACATGGTAGTAGTAAAAACTAATTTCAAAATTTTTCTTTATTTCTCAAAAATGAGTAATAACTTGCAATAATTAATAATTTATCTCTGTTTCTGTACTGACCACGTTGCTCTACGCTGCCAATTTTACAAAGTATATGTGTACATACATACAGTTCCGACATTTTCGTTACGTAGCTTTCAAGTCCCTGCATCCCCATGGAGCGGAATGAGCGCAAGCAGAACGAGCAGAACGTCTCTAAAATGACTTTTAAATATTGTTTTTATCGATCGTTTTTTATTATCATGTACATAAATATTGAAATGAATGCGTTCTTATTGGAAATATTGATTAAAAATGTTAAATAAGTTAAATAAGTTTTAACGCGGTTTGGAATCCACATAGCGAAAATTGCGGAACGCTCGCGATTGGTTTCGCTCTTGTTCCGCGTTAAGGTACATTTTTACGAGCCGCTGAAATCGATCGTTTGAGCTACAAAAAGGATCACGTGATATAAATGGACGAATCAGCGGCCAGACCGTCGTCACTCATTCGTCCATATTGATCACGTGATCCTTTTCGTCGCTCAAACGATCGATTTCAGCGGCTCGTGAAAATGTACCTTTACGCTATTCCGCTGCATGGGTTCGCACCCTATAGATGCAAACCCATGCAGCGGAATAGCGTAAAGCCCGAATCACACTAAACGCTCGAGGACGCGGCTACGATTGTGTCTGCGATTGCGATTCTGCCTCAGCTAATCAGAAAGCATCAATTGCAAGTATGATTGGAGCATAGCAAATCGCAATCACAAACGCAATCCCAGTCGCGGCCGCGAGCTGCTAGTGTGATTCGGGCTTAAAGCCCGTTCTACATTGATCGCATGTCGCTAGTCGCAAGCAAATCGGCCAATCACAGTCGATTATTCCGTCGAATATTCGACTGTGATTGGTCGATTTGCTTGCGACTGGCGACATGCAATCAATGTAGAACGGGCTTAACGCGGAACGAGAGCGGAACCAATTGCGAGCATTCTGCAGTTTTTGTTACGCTCGTGATTGGTTCCCTTCTCGTTCCGCGTTAAGCCCGTATCAGAGTATTAATCATGTAACTTTTCCCCTCGGGCGGAAAAGTGAAAAGTGAAAAATTTTGCCATTGATTTCAATGCTAATATTTTTCACTTTTCACGTTTCCGCCCTAGGGAAAAAGTTACATGATCGGTACCCTAACTACGCATTGAAGATTGAGATTCAAGATTCAAAATTAAAATTTGATCAATCAGGACAAAGAAATTTTAGTTCCTTTTGTTCTGGGTATCGATCATGTAACTTTTCCCCTAGGGCGGAAAAGTAAAAAGTGAAAAATTTTGCCATTGATTTCAATGCTAATATTTTTTACTTTACACGTTTTCGCCCTAGGAAAAAGTTACATAATCGGTACCCTGTAGCGGGATTCTCTAACATCTTAGCGACGATTATCGTTGTCGTTAGCGAGCGGTAGCCTATGAGAATCTGCTTTTCTGCCAAGGTGTGAATCCGGCCTAAGGGTGCCGTGTAACAGAGCTCAATGAGTAGTCTGATACGCGCTTTATGCTATTCCGCTGCATGGGTTTGTACCCTTATGAGAGATTGGTTGTCAAATAGAAAAATTTTCGAAAGCTCCCTCTTAATTGTAATGTCGATAACATAACTAAAAATGTCGATAATATATTGACATTTTTAGTTACGTTCAGATGAGGGCGTTTTCGTGTTGGAGTTCAGCTGTCATTTCGGGATAAGTCAGGATAAGTTGAGTTTCACGAAAAACGTCGGCGTGTGTATGGCCGCTCTCAAACTTCTCTCTGATATATCCTATCAAATGATAGAATTTTTTATTATCGGAACGTACGAAAGAATTATTAAACTTTTGGTACTAACTGTGTATGTGTATGCGTATACGAGTAATTTAGAAAATAAAGATAGAAAAGTAAATATAAAACACTATCACTTTCGTCAATAGTATGTATGTACATACAGACTTAACGAAATAATCGTTAAATGCAACTAACAGCTAAATATAAAATAGAGGAATATAGAATAAGAAATATAAAGAGACAGAGAAATATAGAATAAGAAATATAGAAATATAGCATCTAATATTGTGCTAGAAAATAAATCATGATTGTTAATATTCTTGGTCTTCCATCCAGGCTATATTCTGTGATATATTACTGGTCATGTAATTTCATGGTTATTCACATACGACGTATATTTAATGAGTTGCAAACGCTATAGGTAAGTGGCAGTTAAATTCTTTGCATGCAATTAATGCTGATGCAATATCCAATTTGACCAAATACAAAACGATGGAACTAAACCACTCTTTATTATTTGATTACTTTTCAATATTCTTGACATAACAAAATATTCTATATAACAAAACTACTCAATATATCTAAATCTAAAAAAAATCTATCTTTATTACACTTAGCATTAATAAGATAAAATTCTTAAAAATAATGCAGCTTTTAGTTTGAAAAAATGTGAATAATTAAAAGCAAATTTGCAATATATCAGGTCTACCGGAAAGTTCTGTCCGTTTTTGGAATAAAACAAAATACAAATTTTTATTACCGTCAATAAACTTTATTAAATAATGTAATTGCCATTATTCGGAGAAGTATTGTCAGCAACTGGATAATTTAAATACAGCAGTCCAAGAAAAGAGGCCGCCGATGTTCAATAGGAAGAACATCATACCGCATCATGATAATGCCAGGCCACATGCTGCTTTGGATACTCGTCAAAAAATTGCAGAACTAGGCTGGAAAATTCTGTCGCATCCACCATATTCCCCGGACTTAGCACCCTCCGACTATCACTTGTTTTTGTCCTTACAAAATTTTTTGAGGGGCAAAAAATTCAAAAATGAAGAAGATATCAAACAAGCACTGGTTCAATTTTTCGCATCAAAAGATAAAACATTTTTCGAAAAAGGGATATACAAATTGCCCTCACGCTGGCAAGAAATCATTAATAATAATGGCAATTACATTATTTAATAAAGTTTATTGACGGTAATAAAAATTTGTATTTTGTTTTATTCCAAAAACGGACAGAACTTTCCGGTAGACCTAATATTACACTGATGCATATTTAAGGTTGTTATAAAGAATCTATTTAAATATAAAAATAATTAAAAGCTATTTGATGGGTAAAATACATGTATTCTGCCGAACAATATGAAAAATAACTCGTATTAATTATCCTACTGTTTTAACTATTTATTATTTTTGTTATTGTTAACTTGTATATGGCAGCTTTTAATATACATATATCAATGCACACTAGTGTCTCAATCAAGTTTGCTATAAGAAATTTAATCAAAACTATGAAGTGTAAAATATTATAAGTCTAATGTTTGGCACTATTCCACTTATTCCTGTTAGCTTGTAATTGTTAGAACAACAAAAAAAACAGATTATTCATATTGTTTATATAGATTGATTCAAGCAACACAATCAGAGATAGAAGAATCTTATATGGTAAAATGAAAAAAATATAAAACATGTAAAATAAAAACAGATATAAATATAAGGCTCTTAAGATTAAAATCCGTAAGATCGATGGGAAATAGTAATACGACCCAAGCGCGGTATCAAGGGCGCATAAATATTTATTATAAAAAGACAATTTCAATACAGTTGAAATTGCGAAAGGCAGACGTTTCGGCTCTTTTTTGGGCCATCTTCAGCGCATGAAATTAATAAGAATTAAACGTAAATGTAGATTTGAGTCTTAGTCGGTTAGCAAGTGCATAGTCACATATATAAGACGATGAAACTGGTAATAGATATAAAACGTAGATCTCTCACGTCATCAAAGTAAGGACAAACAAGTATATTCTCCGAAGCATCCATGTCGTTGAAAGGATGATCAACTCCTCGATTGTTTGGAATTGAATTGTCGGAAATTAAAAAATCCAAGAACATGGCGGTACGTTAATTTCAATTATGTAAGTAAGAGAAGTAACTCAGATCAACGAATAACGGAAATAACTAACGGACAATGAATAACGGAAATATATAAAACTGGAGAGAACTTGACTCACTGACTATCGACGAAACAATTTACGTTTACGCTTAATTCTTATTAATTCCGTGCGCTAAAGATGGCCCAACAAAAGGGCCGAAACGTCCGCCTTTCGCGATTTCAAACTGTATTGAAATTGTTTTTTTATAATAAATATTTATATGCCCTTGATACCGCGCTTAGCTCGTATTGCCATTTCCTTTCGATCTTAAGGATGTAAAATAAAATTTGTTGTATATAAAGCATCAAAATTATATAAAAATACTTTATGAAACAAGATTTGTTTTATAAAGTATCAATTTTAAATTAAAAAATTAATTTGATGTTTTGTGAAGAACTAATTTTTTTTTTCATTTTAGCAAATAAGATATATTAGACTTTTTTATTCATACTTTGTAATAGAAAGATAATTAAGTTTTCAAACTTATGAATAATATCATTAATTTTTGGTTCTTTAAATTCAACTTTCTTAAAAATAAAGTTTTATGTAAAAATTCAGTTTTTTTGTGGTTTTACACACACACACAGGCGCGCGCGCGCACACACACACACAGGTAAGGTATCCAGTAATAACGATTATAAATACAATTATAATCGTTGCTATCTGTACAGTGCTCCCCTCTCCCCGATTCATCGCGCGCGTCACAGTGGGCTGTGATGGGCTTTTTTTCTCGTCGCGCCTAATACCTTCGGGCATTGGTTGATCTGTTTTAATTATTTTCTCATTAATTATTGTCAAGATCGCAAAACGGTAGAGGACTTTTTTATTAGTTTAACCCCCTCTACCTGCACACGAAAGATGATATGGTTATTATCGAACATCCTATACAAAGAACACAATTTTGATATGTTGGTGATGGTGAGAATGGATAATATATATATACAGGGTGAGTCTTTTAAATCTTAACAGGCAAATATCTCAAAACCTGTAAGTTTTAGAAGGAAACTTTTTAGACAAAAGTTGTTTGGTTCTGAGGGGGAAAAGAGATAGAAATATTAGTTAGACCTTGGGTGGCATTGTTAAGGTCATATCAAGGTCACATTGAATTTCTTAAATTGAAACCTACATTTTTTATTGCATAGCCCTTGTCGAGACCTTTTCAAAACTCTATAAAAAAGTATGTTTTCATTAAGTACTTTTTGAGTTATTTTATATCTTAATCTGACATATTTTGATATAAAAAATAAAATATCTCGTAAAATATTTAGTTTTCGACAATCTTACCATAATATTTTTATGTACAGAATAATGAGACAAATCAATTAGTGTAAAAAAAAAAAACAAATAGTTAAAAAAATACATTGTAAATAATTACATACTTCTTCTCAAAAACAATTTTTTTTTTTATACCAATTGATTTGTCTCATTATTCTGTACATAAAAGTATTACAGTAAAATTATCGAGAACTAAATATTTTACGAGATATTTTATTTTTTATATCAAAATATGTCAGATTAAAATATAAAATAACTCAAAAAGTACTTAATGAAAAAATACTTTATTATAGTGTTTTGGAAATTTCTCGACATAAGCTTTAAGAATATGCAATAAAAAATAGGGGATTCCATTTAAGAAATTAAAGGTGTCCTTGACTTGACCTTAACGATGCCATCCAAGGTCAAACCAATGACACCATCTTATGTTCCTCTCAAAACCATACAATTTTTGTTAAAAACGTTTTTCTCTAAAATGCTTAGTTTTTGAAAGAAAAGGGGTGTACGGGTGGTCTAGGACACCCTGTATGTATATATATAATCTTTTTTTCTAATTGTTTTTATCATCAATAATGGACTATCTTGTGTATAAAAAGAATTATTTTATATTATCTAGTATTATAATAGGATTAGATTTATACAGAAATACTTTATTGTGTCAAAATCTTAATTTATTTTATCTCATTATATTGAATTATGATATCAGAAGTCAGTCCAAGAGAAATCATGTGAATTTTTGTCTTAAATCATTAAAATAAAACACTATTTTATATGCCATTATCTGCGTTTAATAATAGATAATAAACTAGTAAAATATACAAAAAGAAATTTTTTTTCCGCTTAATAAATAACTGTAAATTTTGATCAGTTATAATGATAATCTTTGTTGGAAATGTAGTATTGAGTTACTTGCATAAAAAATGTTTTTGGCATATTCTGCAAGAAAAAAAATTTGTATGAATTTCTGGTTTTGTTATAATTCAATATGTAATGAAAATATAGGAACGTTGATAAGATAAAATTTGTACAAAATCATTTTATTTTCTAAAAATCTTAATTTATATAAACTAGTAATTTTTTCAGATTTTTAAATTATTGTCATCTTATCATTTGTTGCACATTTTTTGCATGTTTACCTTCAACATGGATTATCTTTTTTGCAGATATGTCAGAGCACATGGAATTGCAACATTTAGTTGATGCTGATGTGGAGAGTAACACAACAAACTATAAAAGAAAATTCTCTACCTTGTTATGTAAATCATGCCCTTACCTAGGTCTAGTATTAGCGACATTCTCGTCTCTATTCTTTTCGTTATGTAGCGTCATTGTTAAAAGCTTGGTTGAGATAAACCCTACCGAAATGGCTATCTTCAGATTTTTGGGGGTATTGTTACCAGCTATACCAATTGTGATTTACAAAGGTGATCATCCTTTCCCAAAAGGACGTAGGCTAATACTTATTCTAAGGAGTTTCATTGGTACAACAGGACTTATGTTAAGTTTTTACGCATTTAGACACATGCCATTGGCCGATGCTTCTGTTGTTGTATTTTCTGTTCCTGTATTTGTAGCGATATTTGCACGGATATTTTTGAAAGAGCCCTGTGGGCTATTCAATGTTGTTACTGTGTGTCTGACATTGATCGGTGTGTTATTAATAACACGACCATCTCTAATTTTTGGCAATACCGTAGAATCTCTCTCAGATGGTAATATTAAACCAGGACATGCGGATTTATGGGGTGCTGTGGCTGCTTTCTCAGCTACTTTATTTGGTGCAAACGTATATGTCCTATTACGCGCATTGAAAGGTATTCATTTCTCCGTTATAATGACAAATTTCGGTTCGTTTGCTTTAATACAAACTACATTTATATCATGGGTTATTGGTGCGTTATGTTTACCACGTTGTGGTACAGATAGACTTTTGGTTGTTGCACTCGCATTATTTAGTTTTGCAGGTCAAATCTTACTAACTTTAGCTCTTCAGCTAGAACAAGCTGGTCCAGTGGCCATAGCAAGGTCCACAGATATTGTTTTTGCATTTTTCTGGCAGGTACTATTTTTTAATGAAATACCAAACCGATATTCTGTAGGAGGCGCTATATTAGTCACAAGTTCAGTATTGTTAACAGGATTAAGAAAATGGGTTCTCTCCTTACCGGAAACATCTAATATCAAAAAGTCTCTTAAAATTTTAATAATGTAAATATTTTTTTTTTATTAAAGACAAAATAAAAAGCAGCTTAAAGTAGATTATACTTTATAAAAATTAATATAATTTATTTATTCTACCACATTTTATTTATATAAAATGTGTGTACTATTGTGTTCGTAGCTGTTAAGGAAGGGACTTTTCGGGATTTGTATGCCTAAAGAATTAGAACCTACGCACTGAATAAGATTCTCCGTACTTTCATAGTAAAAAAATATATTTGCCGTTAAATTACACACTGACTGTTGCTGCGAGTTGCGGTTATAATGGTCGGACTACGTGCGGTACAATTTGTGATATTCGGGAGCGATCATCGGTTTATCTCACGATCTTACTTATATAATTAATTAGGAAGGAAGGAAGGGAGTGTAATGACTGCCCGGAGCACGTATCGTGTTCCGTTTTAGTCTTTCTCTTCCGCTGCTTACTCGGCTTCCGAGAACTGATCGTGACTTGCCTTTCCTTGATCACGTCTTGCTTCATACCATTATATCTTTTTTTTATCTTTTCGATGTCTTTGTAATATTTTTTTGTTAGTTTAATATTTCTTAATCCGTTTTCCTTATTTAATTTTTCTAAACTTGTGCTATATTCCTTGTTTTAATATTTAATTTTATGAATTTTTTAATTTTCTCTTCCTTAATCTTGCCTGCTCTACTTTTTATTTTTTAATAAGAAATTGATGGTTGGATTTCAATAGTATATGTGTACGTGTGTGTGTGTGTGCGCGCGCGTGTGTGTAATGTGTGTATGTGTATAAATATATAATACAAATGTGTACATATGATATTTTTAATTGATTATGCGCAATATTTTTATTTCTATTTATGCATGGTCATATGGAGATGTGAGACAGTAAAAAAATATGAAAAAATTAAGAGGGGAATTAAGAAAAAGAGTCAATCGAATTAATATAAAAATTCATCTTTTTGTTATATAGTCCCTTTACTCAAAATGTTCCATCATTTTGAATCAGTTAGCTCTTTGTAAACAAATTTTTCTCTTTTGCTATGCATTTATCTTGTAACTATGTGATCATGAATAAAATGAAAAATGAATAAAGAATATGTAACATTTTTATTCTGTGCATTAGAGTAATAGTGAAGATTGAAGGAAGATTTCAGGAACTTGATTTGGATGATTCCAAAATAGAGGAATTCTATATGCTTTATAAAAAGATTATGAATATATAAAACTGTATCTTGATGTAACTACAAACAGATATGTAAGAGAGAAATATCTCTTTTTCAAATATTTTTATTTTATTTTAATTTTATAATAACAAAAATTTTTTCTATCATAATTTATTGAATAAATAATATCTACGAAAAGAATTATTGCATTGTATGATAACATTCACACAAATAACTATTATGTTGCAATATTATGTAGCAATTATATAAAAATGACAGAAAAATAATTGAGATATGAATAATATATATTATCTTTATATAATCATATTAAATAGTCAATTAACTATGTATTTATAGTTTATAATCATTTTTATTTGGAAGCTTTTGATTATATGCATAAACACAGACTTTGCTAGTTGCTGTATTTGGTCACTGTCCAATGTTAAAAAATATGTTAGTACTGTCATAAAGAACTATAAATCACCCCATACAGAAAATAATGTGTATTAGATATCTACTGGATATTTTTAATGAGTATTAGGGATATCCATGAATATGTAGGAAATAATTATTAGATATGTTTTAAATATTCAAATGTCCGCAATCTCGAAAAACGAAATCTCATAAATATCCACAGGATACGTAGGTCAATGTCCACTGGACATCCATATCAGTATTCAGTGAACATTTATAGATATCCATTGTATGTTAGTTGAATTTTAGTCACAAGATGACCAATTAGACGTCCTAAATTAGGTTTCATGAGACCCGAAAATGACATCGATATGTCACATCTACAGGACTTCATTTTCTGATGTTTCTTTGACGGCAAAACTGAGACCAATACAGTAATAATATATTATAATAACACATATTAATGTAATATACAGGGTGAGTTTTTTAACTTGAAACTGTAAAATATCTCGGAAAATAAGCTTTATTTTATATCTTAAGTAAATAATAACGAACCATTTTCACTTATTCGGACAAAAATTGTCCAAATAAATGAAAATCAGACATTTATCTGTCCGATTTTCCATAAATAAGTTAAATATTTGAAATTCCCCTGTAATTGTATCAGAAATTAAATTGATAGAAATAATTACAATATTATTAGCTGCATTTTGCAGGCTTTATATACGCGCATAACAAAAACTTGAATATAGATATAAATAATGAATAGCGCGCATAGCGGTAATCCAGAGATAGCAAAATGCCAGCAGTATGCCAGCAAATTCAATCATGACTTTGCAGCAGATTCCGCTCTGCTGCGTCCTCATTAAGCTTAATTTGTGGCAGCACAGCTGCCGAAATAATATAACAGAGAAAATGAAGCAAAAAGCGTTGCCGCATTCTGTGTGCAGAAGCCAGAATATCTATTTTTATCAGCCCACTCGGCATGTAATATTTCTGATACATTGCTGCAATATTCCATTTGAAATATTACACCTTTCAACAATATTATAGAAATATTTCACGACCGTTTCTGCAACATTTCTGCAATGTTTCAATGTCCGCAATCATTTCAAATACAACCTTGCTAAAAGATTTCAGCAATATTTCGGTAATATTACTGAAATATTTCTGAAACATATCCCAAGTAGCGAACTAACGTCACAATGACGGTAAACTTTGGTCACAAAATGATCACTTAAATATCCTAAGTTAGGTCTCATGAGACCCGAAAATGATGTCGATATGTCACATCCACAAAACGTCATTTTCTGATGTTTGTTTGACGGCAAAACTAAAATCAATTACAGTAATAATATATAA